GGGGGGGGGGGGGGGGGGGCACCTTACCTTGAACTGTGTGATGGGCAGGACAGATGTGATCCGGTCGTCCGCTGCGATGGGCAGCACCTGAGGCAGCGGGACCCCACGTGCTGTCCGTGAAGACAGAGGCACCTACACACACACATCACATCCCCCACCCATCCGACCACACGTGCCTTCCCTCCACACACACGTATACACACACGTGCACTGCACCTGGTAGGCCTTCACGGTGAAAGCCACCCCCCTGTTGGAGACGAAGAGCAGCGTGTCGTGGTCGTTGCACGCGAAGAAGTGGGCGACGCTGTCGTCGTCGGATATCTTGGCGCCGAGCTTGCCGCGGGTGCCTCTCGATTGGGGGTCGAACTCCTCAACGGGCAGGCGCTTCACGTAGCCAGAATGCGTCACGATCAACACCGACCTGTCGTTGGGGATGAGGTCCTCTTCGGTGAGGTCGGCGGCCTCGTGTATGATCTCCGACCGCCGCTGGCCGCCGTATTTCCTTTTGAGCTCCTTGAGCTCGGTCTCCATGAGGTGGTACACCTTGCTGTCCTCGCGCATCAACGCCTCCAACTCGGATATGCGCGCACGCAACTCCTGTGCACGTCCACACAACACAGACACAGACACACAGAGAGAGAGAGAGAGTGGGTGTGTGGGATTGGCTGGCTGGCTGGCTGGCTGGGTGCGATTGCGTACCTCAAGCTCTGTCTTGAGCTTTTCCTCCTCGAGCGCAGTGAGCCGGGCGAGGGTGAGTCGCAGCAGCGCCTCAGCCTGCTCCTCACTCAGGTCAAACGGGGAGCCTGACACACACACACAGACACACGTATGAGTTTATGTCCATGGCTGTTTTGTCCATGTTGGCTCTCTCCACTCACCCTGGAGGGCTTCTCTGGCCTGGTTGGCGTCCTTTGCCTGCCTGACGACATCGATGACGTCGTCGATCTGCGCCAGGGCCTTGAGCAGCCCCTCAACCACATGCGCCCGCTGCTTCCGCCGACCAAGCTCGAAGTTCGTCCGCCGACGGATCGTTCGGAATCGGAAATCAAGCCAGATCTGCAGAGCAGACCTGATCAAAGCAAAACACCCACAACCACAGAATGCGCGAATTGTTCGATGGTGTGTATCTGTGAA